TGACTAGTATCTGAGGTTGTTGCAGTCGACTGGTATTTATTAAGTTTTGAATTGATTTTCTTCTACGGCTGTCTCACACAATAATGAAGAAGATGTTTTTTTCGTATAACGAATTGAAATTCACCGTGTATTAAAACCTCTACACATTTCTGATTTAAGGTGTGGAAAGCACGCTTTGCAGTACAGATCCATCGAGCTTGAATATCAGTAAAAAAGGTTTTGCTCTTGATCGTTGCTAAAAATTATGGAAGCATAGATGTACAGTTGTACTTGTCAAATCACGCACAGAACTCACCCCATGAAAGCGCATAAAACTATTAATATATACCTCAAAACTCAAATATATATTTTTGGGGATTTTAACCCTGAGGACATGGAAAATGTTGTGCAGAAATGGCCAGTGTTCGTCGACCATGAAGAAGAAGTATATTCATCAAACTCCAAGCCCGAATCTCAAGAAACTGTTAAATTCACTTCGTTCAAAAGACCTGCACAAACTAGAGGTGAAATTCAAGGAGTTAGGCTTGTGCATCCACATGAGACTGAGATAGCGCCTACACCAGGCACTATGCGGAGTCTCGATCCTGAACCGGAAGATCCTACAAGTAGTACACTCGAAATAAAGGCAGACAGTAGTGCAGCGAAAAAGAAGCATCCGAAAGAAGGTCAAACAAGCTCGTCCATTGCTTCTATACTTGGGACTGGCCCATTCTTCGATTTTCTAATCGAAGTGGCGCAAACCGGCAAGTCAGTGATACCTTGGGAGGACGTGCAGCCGGCCTTCTTCGAATATTTGCAGGTATACTGATTGGTCCTAAACATTTTTCTAAAACGTTTTTTCTTTTAAGGACGCACTTTACGTCTATGAAGAGAATTTTCGGGAAATCAACCATGAAGAGAACGACATGAGTGAGGGTAGCGAGAATTGGCGTATTTATCATTTCATACAAGAAAAAATGCGGAATTTCGACAATTTTCCGTTTACCTTTCGCAGGTGCGAGTAATGATAACTCAGGGTAGTTTGATTATCTTTGCTTCAAAAATATTCAGATATGGGCAAATGTCAGGTAACGGTTGACATCATCCCTTATAACATGGGGAACTCGAATATTTTGATTATATGACTAATGAGAACATA